TACACATTAGTCTAGGAAGCGGGAATAATTATGAAAGTGCTCCAGCCATCGCTGCGTATGGCCAGGCTGCTTGCTAGAAGCAGGGATAGGAGACAGTGCAGAGTGATGAGAACATTGTGTCCTGCATTAAGTCCTGCTTCCCTCAGAGGCTATGTGTCAGACGACTGGTACCCCGGTACTTCAGGTGGGTGAGCCAATTAGCACATTCCCTAGTCTGGAACTGTAGTTGCTGGGTATGTGATCTGCATACTAATTCAACTGAGATTTGACCTTCTGGGGGGAGAAAAACAAGAATCCCAGGTGAGAGAGAACATTGGCCTAGATTTTCGGATCCCTTCTCCTCTGTTCTTTATTTCCAGGCATCTTAACCCAGCTACTTTTTATGACTAATTCTGAGACTGGAAAAGTTTATTTCCCTTGAAAATTCAAATCAATGTATAGGATAAAAACTACCAAAAATCATAGTTTTTACCTCCTTCTGCTAATGTCAAAAATGCAATGCAGGTGCTCCTTGTACGATTGACACCCTTGGCCCACATGGGGGCAGTACTACGTAGTCAAAAGCCTCTGGGAGCTTTCAGGGCATGCAAAGAGTCTGTTTGGAGACAAATTTGAATGCATAAGGCAGAAGCAGGATAGTTTTTCATAAACACAAGATTCCTTAGAGCCAATCATTACAGCGTTCTAAATGTTCTTGCTGAAGGAATTAGGAAGGAAAGATGTCTACCAAATTTCCAGCTGCTGTTGCAATCACTTGCCGGGAGATGTTGGGGAAATTTTTTGATTGATGATTCCAGTTAATGCTGCTTCTTTTAACATACACAATATGAAACAAACAATTTTTCATTGAATTATCAAATTATATTCCAGGTTTGTTTGGAACAGCAACAATATGTCTTAGGTATAGATTTTTAGTTTCTTACTGTATGATATGATGAGTTGCTTTTTGGTAACTTTTCAGATAAAGAATTTCTGGGGAAGCTGTAAAAGTAAGAATGCATTCATAGCCAATGGACCAGTATATTGAGTGCATGGAAGTTATCAGTGGCTTGATGATATTGAATAAATGCTTCCTTCAGATAGATCTCTTTTAAGTTACAGCAGCTACATAAATAAACATTGGCCTTATTATGTATTCATCTTATCTGAAGGGTTTTTGATATTGGGAGGGGAAATCTTTTCTACCAAGACACTTGGGATTGATTAATTTGGTTACTCATTAGGCATATTTTAGAAATCCAAGGAAAGCGCTATAATGATACATTGAGCTACAGTATCCCAAATCATATAGTACTGAAAGACAAAAGGTCACAAAGCATTTGTTTCCTTACTCAGAGGTGAGACTATAGCAAGTACACCTTTAGATGGTGTCTCATTTCAACCTTCAGAAAACAAATTTTGAATTAGCTGATGAGCTCCTGATCACATTAGGTTGTGTCAAAACAGGGACAGTGAGTCGTTAAGACAGTCTGGGGCACAGTGTCATGATGCAAACTATACAGATTCTCACAGAGGAGTCAATAGGCTCTCACGGTGATAGTTTCACTAAACAAACAGAACAGAGGAGTATCTGCCCCTGACACCATCAACGTTGGTTCTTGATACCCTCCTTGCTGTACTTCTTTTTCTTCCTCTGTCTCTTATCTTTTGGATAAAATTAAACACTGATTTCTCTCTATCTTCTCCCTTAACTTTATTCTCCCTTTCTGCTGATACACATGCCAGAACATCCAATTGCACCCATGGAAATTGTTTATCCCTGAGGGGATCATTTGGTACCCAAATGGCTATGGATCCTGTGCCAGAGCAATGAGGGTATTAGAGAAAATTCAGTATTTGCTTTTGCATTCATTTGTTTTTTCAAAATCTCATTAGTACAAAGGTTATTTTTCCCATTAAACTAGCTACTTAGAATAAGGTATATTAAAAAGCACATCTTTTTGCTTGCTTTAAAATGGTAGCTTGAACTGGCATGATGGAAACTATCTTCCTGTTTTGTGAGCGTTTTAAGTATGGAAGAAAGCATCTGCTTTGCCTCAGTCTGAGGTTTGGTAGATGAAATTTCTCGGACTGATTTTTCTATTCTAGCTCAGAAAATGATTTAAATGGCTATGGATTTGAACCTTGCCATAATGTCACCATAGAGTCATCTGGCAAGTTGTGATAAGCAAGTGTTATGCAAAAATTACTGTGTCCACCCCAACCCTTCCGGAAGTCAGTACACGAGCTCCATGTAACACTTAAGCAAAACTATACAATTGCTTTGTCTGTGTGGTCTATTTTAATGAGCATACAGGGAAGTGAATTGCATAGATGATATAGTGATAAACAACAGATTAATCTTTTTAATAACTTGAGATTTTGCTTGCTGGATTTTAATTTGTCTCTCCTCTAAAATACTAAGTAGAACCTAAACATAGTAATGTGGTTTTCTATTGGTTTTGGTGTAAAGAAGATAGGATTAAGTTTAACTTATCCTTTTTCACTTATCATGTCTCTTAGGGCACCCACATAAAAGCACATACTTCTTTGTGCTTTCTGCTCTGGCAGCACCAGACTCCCACCTCTTCCAACCATACTTACATCCTTTTCCATGATCATTAGCAAGAGAGAGGGATGAATAAGAGGAGAAATATAAAAAGTAATTAATTCACTGCAGTGCAGCTGCAAATGAATTTTTGAAATAAATTATTAATTTTCTCTTTAATATTTCTGCATTGATACTGCTCTGTATCTGGGGATTGGAAGTGAGAGCTATTTTGCTTCACAGCAGTAATGCCCTGGGTAGAGACAGCAGCACCTCATTGTAACTAGAATGCGTTGTGCTAACGTGATATTTCTCTAATCCATCAGCAACATGCCTTTAGCCAGCAATATTTTAAATATGCATGGATTTTTAAGTTTATGGCAGGTAGGGGAGGCATGTAGGATGGGGGCAGTTGTAATGAAAGAGGTCAAGTGCCTTATTTTCTGTATCTCCTGGTGCCAACTTCCTAACGCACTGAAATCAAAACAAAAGCTAAACGTGTATAATGATTCTTGAGGAAAAGGTGGCATCAGAAATCCAAAATGTTTTTTGCTTATTTAGGAGGGAGAAAAGATGCTGAATTGTCTAGGAGATGTTAGAGTTGGGAGTATTGACTATCAACAACATGGAGAAGAATTATAAGTCTTTGTACTTCCTGACCAATCCAGGACAGAGATCACCGAATAGTAGCAGGGTGACAGCACAGGTCTGCTCGATTATCTTCACTGGACTCCACGTCTTCAGTCGGCTTTGAACCCAGATTACAAAACGTACCTTTTATCACTCCCTTTGCTCAAATCAAATGTTATCAGGAAATCTGCTTTTCTTGACCTCTGTGGCATGTGGTTGGAAGGTAAACCTTAGCATTTTATGGAAAAACTATTTTTAGCAACAGAAAGCAATGGTGCTGCTTCTGTGTTCAAAGATGTTGGCTCCAAATGGCAGAGGAATGATTGTTTCCACTTAAAGTGATTGATATGTCTACATACACTTGAGAGATAGAATTTCATTACCTATTCTTTCTGTGGGGACTGACTGAATACAGATTCCAAAGAAATAGGGAGCAGATTTGTGTAACAGAGTACCATTTTCTTCAATGAAATGAAGAAAAAAATGCCAGTGTATGAATCTATGAGGGGAGAAATGGTGAATGTTAAGTAAAGTGAACAAAGATATGGAAAGAGTGAAGAAACCAACACGGTATGTATTGAACATTATTTGTAATTAGGTTTTTAGCTTTCTGTTCGATGACAGTAAAATATTTCTATTGGTTCACTTGCAAAAGTATTTATTTTAAATTACCTGTAATGATTAAGCACAGAAAAAATAAGTATTATACAAGGCTACCTAACAGAATTCAATTCATTCCATAATAATACCTAAGAATTAATGCTTTCATTTTGTATGGCATTTGAAGACTTGGAAACTCAAGTTACCAACACCTTGCAGATGATTTTAGAAGAGAAAATTAAGAAATCCAAACTCTAATTTGGGGTCAAATATAAAGGAAAACAACTTAATGAGCTCTTAAAAATGTAATGCTCTTTTATAAAACAAGAAATACTTCTGCATCCTAAAAATCTGTTTTCTCTCAAATGTTTTTCTCTAATGCTGTTTGGTTACCTCCTAAAGCCATTATTTCCAGCAGAGTCACAGAAATCCTCAGCTGTGTAGGCGGTCCCAGTAAATTTAGCAGCCAAGCCACATTTTGACATGTTAAGAATAGGCGTCTATAAATCTTCCCCAGCTTCTCCTGAGAAGATTAAATCTTTCTTTTCAAGAATTTGCTAAATTTCAGGAAATGCTGTAATGTAACAAATGACTTGTAGACAAGACTGAAGAAAGAGTAGAAGATAATGGAATCTCTTTGTTCAAGAACCAAGGCCCCAGAAACTGAAGGAAACTCCTGAAAGTTCTACATTATCTACCAGAAAAGAGAGAGAGGCTGGGGCAAATGAAATCCATCTTCCTGCAGTAGCAGTGGGCTTCATGACCAGGGATATGTCACAACCTCTAAAGAAGCCCCTATGTTGTCAAGGAAGATTTCCGCTTTCATAACCCATCTCTTTAGAACAGAAATGCCACAGAAAAACTTTCAATTAAAAGAGATCTTCCAATAGTCTGAATTTCCTTTTTTTTTTCCTTATACCTAGCCAAACAGGGGACCCAGGGCACTGCCCTTTGTCTCCCAAGTGTACTTCAAAATGCATTTCCTAACCTTTCTCTGAACAAGAAGAGCTCCTTGGATCGAGTGACATCTGGAAGAGGTTTAAGCTACTTAATATGAACATAATGAACTTAGAATGTACAGCATAGAGAGATAAGGAATTTATTGAAGGAATATTGAGAAGAAAAGCAAATTGAAGAAAGAGCTAAGTAGGCTCTGGGAAGGTGAGAGCCAAGGTTGCCCCAAATACCAAAATGAAGGGGCATTACACCAGCAAGTGACTTTGCACCAACCATTTCCCAGGAATATATCATTCTTCTTCAATATTTCTAAATGCCAAGAAAAGATAGTCTAATTGGTTTTCCATGAGTCTTGGACTTACCCACAGGCTAAGGATAAAGCTGAGAAATGCACAGCCATCAGAACCACATCAGATGATGGTGGAGTAGTTTTCTAAAAGAAAAATAGACTACTGTTACCAACAGAAGAAAAAATAGATCTTGAACAGGAAGAAACAAACATGAGAAAAGAGAGATAATGCCATTAGACAGCAAGCTTAACTTCCTAGTCAGATCATTCTGGGTTGCAAAGCTGATCTTTATCTTTCTGATCAGCAATTGCTCATCTCCCCAGTGTCTTACCTTTCCTAAATAAGTAGAAAAGTTGCTTTCATAACTCACAGAAGGGTAACTTATATTCTATTGGATGGAGCAGGTGGAAAAGAAAAAGGAGGGATGCTCCAGAAATACGAACATCTGAGTTAGTCTCTACTCAGATTCACGCACATGAGACATAGATACCTAGGCAGAGCTCCATATCCACAGGATGACCTCAGAACCACATGCTTATCCTTCTCTCATACCTTTGATTACCTATCTCCTACATCTGCCTTCAAAAGTTTTAGTTCTGCTGTTTTAGATCACTGTCTTACAAGAATATCTCTAACCATTAACTATTGCCACTACTCTTTGCTAAAAGTTTCCCAAAGTGTTGTTATTTGTGTCCTTCAGCATCTGCAGTTTCAAGATTACTTTCTCAGGATATCACTTTGGACAATAAATGCTTTTTTTCCTTTACAGTGACCTCCAAACCCATATGCCAAGCTTGACTCATTTAAAAAAAAAAAAGACCCACAGCTTGAAGAATTAGTTTTTGAGAAAATACGTTTTCACCTAAGGAAAAAAATATATATCTAATTTTCACTAGTTTCTGAGCTCCTTATTTATCTGTGCCCAGGGCACCTAAATTGTGTTTAATACATGTTCATCAAGTAAATAACTGAGATAGAAAATGAATACATATTTACTTGTATCTGACTATCAACCCCTTCTAGAAAGTTTAGAGAAGAAATCTTATAGGTTATCTTGTCTAACCCTGTCATATGTTATAAACTTGGGCTAGAGGCTGAGAGAAGGAGAATGACTTAATCTCAAATCTAATCTGTGACAGAGCAGAAAATCAAAGTCAGATGTTCTGAGTTTAAATCCAGTACTTATGACACTATAACACCCAAGTAATTAAAGTTCTTAAAGTATGATATCTCATGTACATATAAATAGATACCCTTGAATAGACTGAAAACCCAGTTGGATTTAAAGATATAGTGTTAGAATAATAAAGGCAGGCCTTGAGGTTAAGGTTTAGCCCAGAGAGTGCCTAATTACAACATTAGTCTTGTAAACAGTCAGAACAAGATGACCATCATGTAGAAGGACAGAGTCCTTCACTCCCCTCTCATCTTACCCAGAATCTTCATTGTTCACTTTGCAGACTAGAAACATCCATCTCAGGGGAACATTTCCAGGACATGTCATGATAACAAGTACCTCTATTTATTGATAATCATGACCAAGTCAAAGAACTCCAGAGCAACTGTTAGGAGAGGAGAATAACCTTTTATCAGCTTTTATTCTTTCCTTTTGCCTCAGGCTTTTGCCCAAACTCAGAACAGTGGTGTGTGTCTGTGCTTCAGTTGTAAGAATGAGTAAGAACCACCCCTGCAACAACCTCTGAAATGTCCTGCATCATCCTCCTAATGGGGCAGTGTCTCATCTTCTGCACCTTCTTCCTCTTCTCTCAATTAAAATGTCTCCTCTGTCCCCATCATATTAAATCTCCTAAAGACTCTCTAATTTAGATTATATGCTGATGACTCACAATTATCCATTTCACAAATGGACCTCCTTCTTGAGCTCCGGACCCATATATAACATAACACACCCTAATAGTCATCTCTAACTGTATGTTTCACAGATACCTCAAGTTCAATCAATTTAAATGGAATTCATAATCAAACCTACTTTCTGTCACCTGTTCTCAAGCCAGTAACATGGACTTCGTCCTAGATTCCTCCTTTACCTCATCAACTACTTTCAGTTTGTAACTAAGTCTTATCAATTCCACCTCTAAAATATTTCTTTGACATTTCCATCATCGTCCTACCTTGCCTTGATCACCTGCAACTTGTTTTAGTACAATGTTCTTCTAGCTGATATCCCTATGTCTACCCTTTTCTCCCTTCAATCTACCATTCATACTGCAATGAATGTTACTGTTTTGAAGTGTGAGTCTGATCCAGATACTCCGTGGCCTCCATAGTATTCCATCACAGATGGGTTGGAATCAAGCCCCTTGGCAGGCCAGTTAGGCCCTTCAATGCTTTATCACCCAGGCAAGATCTTTCATCTCACCAGTCTACTTAGGGCCTCACAGGACTAACCCTCAGACACCACTGAAACCATCCTCCCTGGAACAAACTGCATCATGTTTCATTTCTGAGGACCCACTATGATGTTTCGCTTCTGTCTTTTTAAAATTATTATTATTATTTATTTTTAACACAGGGTATCACTCTGTCAGGCTGGAGTGCAGTGGCATGATCATGGCACACTGCAGCCTCTATCTCCTAGGCTCAAGCAATCCTTCTACCTCAGCCTCCCAAGTAGCTGAGACTACCGGTGCACACTGTCATACCTGACTGATTTTTTTAATTTTAAGTAGAGACAAGGTCTCAATATGTTGCTCAGGGTGGTCTCGAATTCCTGAGCTCAAGCAATGCCACTTACCTCCCCTTCCCAAAGTGCTCTAATTGCAGGTGTGAGCCACCACACCCACACTTCTTTTTATGCAGTCTTCCCATTGCTTGGAATGCCCTCCTAAACTTTGTCTAGCTTTGTCTCCACTTAAGTATCACATTTTCTGTTTACAATTCCTTCAGCAACTTTCCCACCCTACTCTTCCTTGGGTATTCCTTGTTTATAGCACCTATTACCTTCCATTGCAATTCTAACCACTGTCATTATTCATCTTGTTTTTTCTCAATGACTAGCAGAATGCCTGGCACATGCTATGGTTGAGTAATCACTTATATCATAATGGGTGGTTTGGAATTAACTTGTTACAAGAAATATGCATTGAGCTACAAGAAATTCCTAAAATAGTGCTCCAGTCCAAAGGCCTGGATTTGCTATCACTACGGTAAGAATGGAAAATGTGTTACCTCTGGCAATAGTTTGGATGCTTATGAAATTTCTTAAAGGCTAAAGACTGTCAAAGAGATCCATTTCTCTTACCATCCTACCTCTTACTTTGGATTTCCTAGAAATCCAATACCAGAAGCCAGCATTAACTAAATATTTAACACATGCATTTTGTCAAACATGGCTAATACCTATAGAACTTCTAATGCTCTACCTTGAAACTGATGGTTCTAGGTCCTTCTGAAAGGCCAAGCATTGTGCTGGGGCAGCAGATCCACTCACCAGCTGTATTCTGTGCACTATTTAATGCAAGGCACATTGCCTGGGATTAACTAGAATCATGTAAAGACACGTGAAGTGGCACCTAGGGGCTGGGAAGCCTAAAGAGGAGTTAGTCAGTTTAATCCTCAAAAACACTTTGAAAATATTTGGTTTGAATAATTGGTTTCAATAGGCAGCATTTCTCATTTGACTATGGAGTACTTTCCTCATGGTATGGGTATTGATATAATAAAGATTTGGCTAAAAAATTACTCTGATCAGTTATTGACCTACTTTCCCATTCCTTCAAACCTATCCAAAAAGAGCTAGTTTTATTTTTATTTTTTACACTTGCATACATTTGTCACAGAAAATGTGAAGAAACAATTTTTATCAAATACTTTAGTGAAGGAAAAAAAAAAGTTTTTCTCTTCTGACCCCCTTCTGCGTTAACTATGCTGTGTTGGTTTGAGATCACCAAATCTATTCCTAACACTGACAGGCCACATGAGGCTTAACCATATGATATGTGAAGTAGAAGGGTCATTTTAGTCTTAAACCAACTGTCTTTACCAAACTCCAGGAGGAGAGAAATCATATCTGTTAAACTGTTTTGTTTACAGTAACCATAATGCTATGGGAAAACGGAACATTAAAAATTTATTTTAGAGATCATATCTTGTTTTCATTTAAGAATATAAGAGCAAAAATAAACCATTGTTTTAAGATACCTAGGTTACTACTGGCTTTATAATAATCAATTTTTATATCAGTACTAAGTATGAAAAATTAAAAATCAAATTATATTTACTTATATTTCCCATGAAATGTTCTCTATTGCCTCCAGAAAGCAGAGCCTTGTGATCTTATCTGTCAACACAGGAAAATAATACAGGTATAAATCACAACTCCTAACAGTCAAGGGGTTGCTTAGATCTTGTTCTTGGAAAATTTGAGTCCAATATAAAAACAGACACATTCCTCAAATAATTTTTTTGTCAGGCCTACAATTTAGAAGATATTTTCAAGGCAATTTTCAGTCCAACCTTTTGATACAAAAAACAATTCCAAACCCATTCCCTGCCCATGCCCTGAAAGTATGTCACCACCATTTGAGCCTGAACTGGAAGTATCGCTTTAAATCTAATCCATTCTTTGTCATTGAAATAGTTGTGTAAAGCTCTTTTTCTTTCTCCTCATCTGCTAAATGAGATCATCTTCACCCACTTAAGACATCTTGATGAAGTGTTATGGCTTTTAAGGAAATTTAAATATAGGAAATATATTTTTAAGAACACTCTGAGTATGATTTTATGTTTTCTACCTAGAGATGTAAAATTATTTTTAATTTTAGATTTGTGGTTTTTCCAAAAAAATATTCATTTCCTAAATTAACATTTGCTGGCTAGGGCACTGAGGTTATGAGTGATTTAGTCCCTTTAAATTCTAAACTCTGTATAATATTTTGATATCTTTAAATGAATTTTAAAAAGGTAAAGAAACAAATTATATGTGTGTATATGAGACTTTTTTCTAAATCAGGCTTTATAATAGATAATATATATTTGTTCTATAAGATATAAGCAATAATGAGTAAGAAGGGGAGAAAATCAACAAAGAGATGACGAATACATAGTGTGGTAAGTACAACAGAATCATGTGAACAGAGGGATATGCTCTACGAGAAGAAAGAAAAGTCTAAATGATACTGCAAATTTCAGATGGACTGTTCCTTTGTTTAGGATTTCCTACAATTCTACCTTCAACACCACTGTGATTAAAAAAGCTTGTTTCTCTCATGGGGGGAAATATTTTCTTCCAAAGGAGAGTCAACCTGACTTCCATATGTACATAATTCCTAGGAATAAATCTCAAGAAAACATTCCCAACAATGCACATTTTGTCCCCAAATAAGCACAGCTGTTTAGTATTAGTCTTTCAGTTTATGCCCATCTTTTTCTAGCTTCTTTATAGACAAGGCACTGCAGTTGCACCACCAGAATATAAGTTTCAGCTGTATCTGTGTTCCCATCTACTGTTCTGTTACTAAGCTTCAAAGAGAGGTCTAATTTAAGACCTACGGTGTGTTCAAACCTGTAGTTTCAGATAAGGATTCTCCCTCTTATATAATGCATTTTAAAATGAGAGCAAAAAGCCCACATCCGTGTTGGATTTCCACTGTTTAGCTTTGAGTATTCTTGAAGCCTTAAATTGAAGAAAGAGTACAGGGTTTGTGAGCTACAGTAATTAGTGCTGGTGGCAGTAAGGCTTGTAGCAGTGTTGATGAAAAGAAACCATAATTTCTTTTAAACTCCTTAGGGTCTCCTTTCTGAAAGGAAGACTTGCAATGTTTCTTTTTAAAGCTTGGATCAAATAACTTAAGCAGACGCTGTGACAATACCATTTGCAGGAAAGAAACCTATGGTATGACTCATTCACCCACCAAAATGACACTCTATACACCTACTTGTTCCTTGCCTTTACTTTCTGAGTCCTCTGAGTCAAAGCATTTGAAAATCAGTCTGCATGTCAAAGCCCCATGAAAATTTACTTGCTGACATCTTTTCTGCTCATCCTGGTCCACTTCACCTTCTCCAGCATAGGCAGAGTTATGAACAATGTAGTGATTATTCATTAATAAGGTCTACATGTAACAGAAAACTCATTTTCCTTTCTAAGTTAATATAGGTAATGTGACTTGCTTTGCCATGCTTCATTACTCCATTCCCTAAAGGCTGAGAGAAATTCTTTTACCCTCAGAATTTTACTAATCCTCCAGTTTATCTCAACTTTCCTCCCTGAGAGCATCTGCCACCGAGAGACAAACCAGCAGACCAAGGTCAGCACACTGTCCTTTGCAGCTTTTACCATATAATAGAAGTCAACTAATTTCATTTGCCTTCGAGACTGTTGGGGAAAATTCTGAATCAAATGGTGGTAAATTACTTTTAAAATGTGGTACTCACGTCATATCCAAATACCACTGCAAATAAATATACTGTCTGGCACATAGTAGGTTTGTCAAATTAATCCTTACGAATTATGGAGCTCATGTCTGGGATTAGGTTGTGCATTCTTTTATTCAAAAAAAAAAAATTGTATTGATCCTCTGTGGGCAGACAGAGAGGCACT